ACTAAATTCTGGAATGTCGCACAATATATATATGTTAGTTTCCACAAGTAGCAAGTAAACTATCGTAATTTCTATTGTGTAAATGGAAAAAGCTTGTTTCTTACCATAATAAAATCACGAAGAAAACATTTATTCCTACTTATCAATCGATTTTAATAGATTATATATAAAGAAGAAGAGGAGTATTTTCATTGTTATGAATCCTACATTAACCGAAATATCCGCATGCATTAGGTGCCTTACTTTCACAACTACTGCGTTTATATATATATATATATATATATATATATATATATATATATATATATATATATAATAGATGGAGAAATTGTGTGCCGTCAGATAATTGCTTTAAATATCTATTGAAGACACTGAATTTGTATTGTTTTGTGCGAACACATTGTATAGAGGAAAAGTTATTTAAGCGCGGCAAAAACTGCATAAACTTTTATTAGATCACTTTACTAGCTATATTATCTTTTATAAATGCAAACAAATTAAGTCTAAAAGGATATTTTTCAACTAATTACATTGAACAATTTTTCTAAAATTTAATTTCTGCACTAGACTGAATAATACTGTTGGCTAGTTTGCTTGTAAGAAATCCGACTAACTAGTACCTACTGAAGTGCAATATAATGGTGAGTCTAAGAGCTTGGTGGTTACATTTCAAGATGATGAATAGAATTCAGTCAACGCTCAGAACTATAGACAAAATGAAAGTGGTTACTCTCCAATGATTAGACAATATACTTAGACTTAATCAATGTTATTTCCTATAGCAGCTGCTGCTTGGAACGTTTGAATAGAAAGTAATTCATCACTTAGTAGTCAGTATTCTTGCATTATCTAGTCACCATGTAAGTTAGTGATGAGGTTGATGCTGACTGTGCACCTATCAAAAGTTGGTCGGTTTTTGGAAGACCACCTTTTTCCAATCATATTGTCTTAAAGCTGAATCTCTTCTGGAGCAGTTCGAGTGTAATTAAGGATAGGGTTGAAATATCAAATGTATAACCTCAATCAGGTGAGCTGGATAGACATCGTAGTGTTAGCACGGGACTTCAATGCACAGTTCGAGTGACAAGGCTCAAAGGAAAGTGACTGCTGGGTATAAGGTATATTTCGAGTTGTGCAGATCGTCTTCCGCATCTCTGTGTGTATAATAAATTATTTCTGACCGGCGTCAACTTCTAGCATAACTATTGTTGTTGTGTTACTTGATATCCCATCTCTGTTAGAAAACACTGAAGTAAAGTATATTATATTGCACTTAGCTGCCAATAATATGGATGTATTAAGGACTACCATACATTCTGAAGCATGCTTTGATGTGCTAAGTTCGCTTACTGTTTTCATGATCACCAAAACTGTTGTCCTAAATAGGTTGGTGCAATCATATAGATTCCCCCCTGATTGTGAAAAATTGGTACTAAATCGAGTTAAATTCAGACCCAGACTGCCAAAAAGTAAAAATGGGAATTACCTTACTCATAAGACAAGAAAACTACTTGTGATTTGGAAGACCATCCCGCTAAAATACACCTAGTCTATAAGAATTTCTTGATTTGCTTCATTACATTCATGTAGCCAGTGAATATAACACTGTGCTTAACTCCCTTAAGCAGATATTAAGGCTGTGCATAAGTAAAGACCGTTAGGCTTGATGCTAGAAACGTGTAAGTGAGGTAGAGACAGTAAGTACTTTGAACAACATTTAGAAGCAATTCCAGCCTACACCAGCTACTGACAACAAGAAGCTTGTTGTCAACGAGACAATCTTTTAGGTTGGTGGTAAGAAGATTAACCACTTTTAAAAATGCCTGGTTCACTCAGTGGGGCACTTCAGAACGTAATTAAACTGAAATACTGCTGCGGTAACTTCAGTCAGTCTTTCCTAAGACAGATCAATGCATGACCCCACAAGAAGTCCCCTAAGCCAACTCGTCACATCACAGCAGCGTGTAAAGAACAACTACATCGAAAGAATAACATCAAAAGAAACAAAGGTCTATAGTAGGAGAGATAACCTTCGAAAAGTAGAGGTTAATGAAAATGTTAAAACTTTCGAAAATGTCAAATGAGAATATATCTGGACCACTGTGAACGGTTTACAACTATGTCACTTAGACTCTCAAAACACATTCTTACTGTATCAAGCACCCCAACCATACCTCCTTACACATCTCAAAACAACAGTCACAGACTCCATGAACTGGTGCCACGCCTTGGTCTAGTGTTCCTCTAATCTAATCCTACTTCGACTTAAACCACGTCCATACAAACATTGCCTAAGCATGCGCAACATGTGTCAAAACCATCTCAGTCGATAAAGATTCACAGCCTCATCGGCTGACTGGTCTGGTATTCTCCACCAAAATTCACTACAGCTCACATGTTGATCCCACAACACATGAGTAGTACTACGAAGACACTGATTGACTGACTGATGAAATTAACGTAAAACTACGCACACAGGTGCATCGGCTCAAGTTGCCACACTTCACAGTAGTACAGAAAGAACAGTTGCATAGTAAAGGAGAGATATCACAGTAGATACAGTAGTGTGAAAGAATAAATAAGCTGAAGATTAGTGCGAACAAGTGTCAGCTTCATACCTCCATATTTCGGGAAACATGTCTCACTGTTGATAATAGAACAGAGTAGATTGTTGAAGGGTATACTCGTCTTTTGATAGGTATTTGGATATCTCGCCATAGATAAAGGGGATGAAATGTAGCGAATGCGAAATTTTCCTTTTGTAACCAAAAAGATGTCTCATCGACAACTAACCCGATCGGGCTGATATAACTTCCTAAGCGAGGTGGTCAACGCATCCCTCCCCCCCACTTCACTGCCAATCCTCAAACTAGGAGCCAGTGCAGACCAGTCCTGAAGCATCATCTCCCATATGGAGGGAGCGAAAAGTATGCCAAACATACTTAAATTTCGACTTAGGGCATTCAGTCTTCATTCGATTAATAATGACTGATCTAGTGGAATGAGGCTCATAGAAACGTTCAAGTGCTGAAATGTTTTAAGCTAACCGACTCCAAGAACTTATCGCAAGATCATTTTAAGGATAAACACAGAAGTGCGGCCAAAGAAGTGACTAGATTATTTGGGAAGGGATGGCAGAATGAGTACTACACATCACTCCATGATGAAATTGTTGATGTTTGTATTATCAAAAACAGTCAACACAACATCTGAGTCACTGGGTTATAAATATTTTACGAGCTGCGTCGAAAATATTGGTCCCTGTCATACTTCACAAGCCTAACGAAACCAAGGAAAAGCTGACTGGTCAAAGATAGACCATTTTCTGTTTAGATCGTTGGTGCACTGACTTTTCGTTACATATTCAAACACTGTCTTATGTAATGTAGGCCAGTAGATAGTAGGGTTGTCTTCAATTCCTTGGCGTTTAAAGTAGATCTGAATCTCATAATGCAGTTTCAGAAAGTCGACATACTGCGCATTGAATTTGGAACATCGATTTCAAACAGTGAGTCAAGGAATCAAACTGTATTCCGTCAGTCACATATAGTCAATACTTCTAATACAATAGGTGAGTCCATTTTAGTCCGTTTATTAGAAATGTTACACACAGTGAAACAGTATCATTTACGGGAAAACTTTTCGGACACAATTTACTGTCCATATTCATATCAGGTAACTCCACAACATTGAAACAGTGTTTATGTGTTCCTAATTTTCTTTCCTTCTTTGTGATATCAAGGGTAGTAGCATCTTCCTTATATGAGGCAGGCACAGCATCATTTCTATTACTGCATTTATTTAGTGTTGATTCGATAAACAAAGATTTGGTTTAGAGGTAGTATTCATCATGGACTGATATCAGTTGGGGGACCATTGAAAATCTGGGAGCACTGGACAGCTGTGTCGTCCTAGTATGGGACTCCTCAGCAGTACGCACCCATGACCCGACTAGGGATCTTCAGGTTTCACGACGAACGCACTAACCACTCAGCCACTGAATCGGTTCTCAGCGGTTCACAATTTCCAACTTCTGTCAACTCATGATATAGCGCGACCATCACCCAAGGTCTTCAGTTGCTATCCGCATCACTTCCAACTGGTTGACCCCACAGGTCACGGCTTCTCATTAGAGCTTCGTGATATCCATCTGGAAGGAAGTCACTAATGAGATTTAGATATCAATCTCTCTCTCCACCCAACTAAGTTAGTTTTTAATACTGTCGCTCCATCTCACCGTACTATGTGATTGTATATAATTGTATGTATAGCTATGGTCGAGCTTTTTTCGAAATTCCTTATCTTATTAGGATCTACTAATCTTGATTTAGATAAGTTTTTGGCTTCTGTTATTCTAATTGACCCTGGTGGATTAGACTCTAATAAGATAAGAAATCTAGAGAAAAGTTCGGCTATAGCTCTGCACGCAGTTACACACAATCACACAGTAGGGTGGGATAGAGTGACAATATTAAAAACTGACTTAGTTGGATGGAGGAAGAGATTGATAACCGAATCTTAGTTTATCGAATTAACACCAAATACATACAGTAACAGGAATGACTGTGCACCTGTCACAGATATATAGAAAATTCTACTACCCTTGTCATCACAAAGAAGGAGAGAAAATCAGGACTATATAAACTCAGTTTCAAAGTTGTGGAGTTAGTTACCCGATATGAATATGGACAATAAATTGTGTCCAAAACTCTATCCAGTAAATGATACTGTCCCTTCACTGTGTGACATTTTTAATAAACAGACTAAAATGGAATTACAACCGACCACAGTGCCCAAGTTTTACTCTTATATTAACAGCAGGTGAGGTTCACCGCTCAGTATATCGTATTTGTACATGGCCGATGAGTTGCTAATCAGACGATCTCTTGGATAATTGTATATCTGATATCCCACCCAACATGCTGTCAGAAATGTTTTGTCCACACAAGGTATTATGAAGAGATTTAATACCGATAATAACGATAGTAGTGATATTGCTTTTTAGAAATGCGCTAGGCAAGTGTAGGTATTGAAACTTAAAATATTATGACCTAAATGATAAGTATAAACCAAACGTCATATCAATCCAAGTGTATTGCATAAAAATGAAGAATAATTTCAGATTTACTACAATTGTTGTCAGCGCCACCAGTAATGATGAATATTTTATTTCATAGAGAGCTAAAATATCTTCCTTACTCTTGAAAATTATGACTAGGCGACATCTTTATAGTGTTTCGAAAATTCTATTTAGTATAAATATTTATAAAAATGAAGTTGTGTTTCAATACTTGTTTGTTTGGTTCTCATTCTGTGCTGAAGTCTGTAGTTGTGGTGATATACTGTCTCATCTACATATCTCCATTTATGTTGTTGCTTTTTAAGCTGTTCAATAGAACATGCACCAAGAACGTCCAAGGTATTAGGAATTTACGAAGGTATTTTTGAGAATTTCATGAACCAACAGGATCCACATAACTTGTGTTTTATGGTAATCACCTGGAAAAAAATCAGAATTTGTTTTCGAAAAAAACAGTACTTATATTTGTGATGATGTACTATTCATTATAATGAAAATAATTCTTCATTTCCTGTTCATTCAGACCGATAATTTCTATGAAAATAAGACTGTTCCTTTTGACTGCAATGATTACCCATTTTTTAGTGTTGAAGCTAATTTAATCGAATACCTGTGTAGTGAAGTGACCTAAATTAACCAAGAAACATTTCCCGCTATGATTTATCTATCTGACAGCACAAAAACGACAAAAAAATGTTAAGTAATTAGAATTCACATTGTTAACAGTTAGATTTAAGACCACAGTACATTGATATGATTTTCAAATGAGAATAAGGGAAGCTGTCATGCATTATTGACTCTGTCTTTAAGATAGGTAGACATATAAGAATTGGAGTTGTCACAGATACTCAGGTTTACACTTTAAGAGGTTATCTCTGTGAGATGAAAGGATTTAATTTAACTGAAAAAAAATTTAACGCAAAAGGTTTTACAGATGGTCCAGTAAGACAGCTAATTATAGCCATGAAACCTTTCACTGATGGTGAATATGGAATGAGAAAGAATATTTTCGAATTAAATAAATCAAATTCAATTATTTGGATCAAAAGTCAGCTTCTTTGTAATAGTTATTTATGTAAATACCTACTGTTAGTTTAAATGATAGGAAAATGAAATCAAATGGAGCTTCATCTCTCCTTTTCGAGTCCAGTCAATCTACTTTGGTTGAGTAACTGGTTAAGAATGCTAGCTATCATAAAATCTGCTGTCTTCAACCTCTTGTGAGAACTTGGTCTTTATTAAATGAAGCATAAACTTGGCATATAATAGGCACCAAGAAATGAGCAACACAAAATAGTAAATCAACACTACAAAGACCTTAGAATAACATGAAGGCAAAGAAAGAAGAAAATACAGGAATGGATGGTGAATGAAGCTGCCTGAAAGGCACATTCAAAGAAATTTTCACTTTCCGATAGGGTAGTAACAGAAAGAGAGCTTAAATACTGTTACTAATTGTTTCGATTGTGAAACACATAAACTCGATTATTATTACTTGTCCCTTGAGTTCCTAGTGGAGCATATGGCTTCAGTAGCACGTCTCCATTCCACTCTTCTCTGCAATCTTTTGAACCTGGCTCCACGACAGCCCACAAACTCTTATTTCTTCCTCACACCATCTCCTCCATATCACCTTCACCTCGGACGCTCAACTCGTCGTTTCCCATTCGATTTCCACTTGATGGCCTGGCCAGGTGCGTGATGTCCCCGAAATGGTCTTCTCAGTGAATGCCCAATCCATCTCCACTTCCTTCTGCATATTTGTTGAGTGATAGGTTCTTGGTTGATTCGTTACTGATTATTTATTAATTTCCGAAAGCTTTCTATCACTATAATACTTAAGTGGAATTTCTTCGGCTGTTAAGCAAAAAAGCATAGTAACTTCAAACAACAAACTAAACCGAATGGTTTTACAATGAACCATTCAGTTGCAATAAACTATCTTTATCACTATGCCTCAGCCGAGCTGATATGTATAAATAAACCACATGAGCTCGACTTTTATTAAAAGGGCTAAGAACATGGATGCATATTATTGACATCTTCAGGAGAAAATACACTCCTATCTTCTCAACAGGCTTCGAATGCTCTTCAAAAATGCAATACGCTGCCTGCAACCAGATACCAAATCTAAATGGCTAGTTCTACACACAGCTTAATTAGCTTCTGATGCAAAACTAAAATACACTCAAAAGCCATTCCTACTGAACTGCTTGCATCAATAAAAGGCCCAGGGTAAGGATGTTTCGAACACATAAGTTAAGTGTTGACTGACGCCTGCTACCTTGAGCCAATGAATAAGCCTGTATATATCCACATTTTAATGAGCTCTGAAATATTGCACAATTGTTTTTCCAGCTCATATCGTTCCTAAAGGGTATGTTAGATAGTTGTAAGGTTGATAGCGGTTGCCATCATTGCATAAATAATCCATGTTGTGAAAGAGTATCTTTCGGTATTATTGGCTGAATAAGGATTGATTAACTATAGGGTGGTTTCTTTCGGCCACCAACATTACAGGTGTGCTATTTTACTTATTCTAGGGAGGAGATTAGAAAAGATATGCTTTGAAAACTGTATTTTGCCTTGTTTCACGGCGTTCTGTAGCTGGTGGTAAGGAACAGACACAACTCAATGAAAATCTTTCGTAACTGGTCTTAAGCAAAGGTACTATAGGTTATAAAATGATGTAGAACTAATCGATTTTTTCATTCAAGTAATGCCGTATATACTATATCTGCCTGTTTTGACAATGTTAAGTCCCATCAAATTATCAACGCAGTAAATCTCCTGCATCGCTTTACTCATATTTAGCAGATTGACAGTTGTGCAATGCAGTTTTTCAGTTATCAATATTTTGGTCTTATGTTTACGACTTTCTTTCTGACTGACTATCATTATCTTCTAAGTCGGTTCCCGCGTCACAATAGATTTTAGTGATTTTAACATTTTTTTTTCTACTATAGAATTGAGTTCCATTTTTGCTTGGATTTTTTAAGAACTACTTCCAACTTCTTTATCTTTTGTTGTACGTGTCTATCTGAATAGTTTTCTCGGTAGAAATATCACGATTGAATGTTGCTCTGCTACATTTTTACACATAGTACCGCTGTCACGTGTACGACTTCAGAAAAAGGTTAGCACTTTATGCAAGCTAACAAGTGTCTCAAGAAGAAATGATTATCTACGATGTGGGCAGCTAATATTCTCAATTGCTGTCATACATTCGGCAACTATCAAGTCTTTCCTAATAATAACAGACTTTCTTCAGTTCTGTTTTGTAGATTTACTTAACCTCTTCCTCTTTTAGAAACTATTAATTTCATTTGTGGTTCACTGCTAGATAACAAGATGGAGGTAGGTACACCAGTTGTAACCCTATGAGATAGGTGTGGCAATAAGTTCACCATTAGGTCCTTTTCTAGCCGATGTGTTTATGTCGAAATTGGAAAGTGGACCATTGCGTAGCACAATAGATAAACTGTCCTTCTATTGTAGATACACGGATGACACTTTCATTCTGCACGAAAATGATACTAATCTTGACATTCTTCTCGGTATTTTCAATAGTGCTCATCCAGAAATCGAGTTCACATGTGAAACAAAGAAAGACGGATGTCTGCCATTTCCAGATGCTTTACTATCAAGGCGAACCGATGGTAGTGTCAGACGCAGTATTTATCGTAAGAAATCATGAGTTGGTCAGTATACACATTCCCGATCACTTGTTCCTCTTACATACAAAAGGAATTTAATCCATACACTGAGATTTTGAGCCAGTAAGATTTGCACGGTTGAACTAAGAATAATAGAGAACACCTTATATGAGAACGGCTGTCCTGAAAAGTTCGAAAAGACTGTAACAATGAGAACAGCTGGAGAAAAGAGCCCTCAAATGGTGCTGAAGAAACGATTGTATCCAACCTTAGGGTTCAAAGAAGATGTAGCTGCAGAAACACTGACAATAAAACTCAGAAATCTGATACAATAAACCTTCTTTGCCGCCACACTATGTTTGAAATTTACTACTCGCTGTATAGTGCCAATGCAGCTGGAGGATAGGTTTACGAATCTGGACACATCTATGTACATTTATAAATTTAACTGCTCCTGTGGAGATAGTTACATAGGCAGAACGACTCGGCAAGCCCATCATCGTTTCATTGAGCACTGTCCAATATGGCTAGGTAAAGGAACAGTGAAATCCATCAAAAGCTCAATACTCACCCATCTAGTAGATACTGAGCATAAGATTGACAAAACCTCAGCATTTAATATTATTTACAAAGTCCCATCATATTACTCCAGGTTTGTGCGCCTCCGATTGCTGAGCATAGCAATTTACATTTTCAAACCCAATTTGTGTATTCAGAAGATCTTCGTTCGTTCCATTTCCCTCCCATGGCCTTCAACTCCAACCTAGATAAAATTACAGTAAATTCCTTCCCGGTCACTCGGATAAATGTAAATAATATCTCTGTAATCTTATCATTATCATTTATCACCCTCAGTTTTATGATTGACTAAGAATTTCAACATTTTATTATCTAGTTGCTATGCGACAATAATTTTATTTCCCTCTATCTCTGCACATACACAATTAACTCACACACCTACAAGGATTAACCACCGAGAATATATAAAATTTCCGAGATTTTGTTTTGTTATTATCACCTTTACTGTTATCTTCTAACTAATAAAAGATGACGGAAATTAAATTACGAAAGAAGAAAAACAACGGAAGCGATGGGCCGACCAATTCAAAAAGCTCTTGAATCGACCAACACCAGCACCTGCACTTCGTCCAGAAATACCACTTACAGCCGCTGAGCTACAAGTAAACATAAATCCTCCAAAAAAGTGGAAAACCTGAGTACCATAAAGCTACTGAAATGCGGGAAAGCAGCAGGACCAGATGGGATCCCACTAGAAGCACTGAAAACAGACGCAGAGACAACAGTGGACATGCTCACACCACACCACTATTGCAGAAGGTGTGGAAGGAAGAGAAGGTACCTGGCGATTGGAAGAAGGGTTACCTTGTCAAACTCCCGAAGAAGAGAGACCTCAGTGTTTGCAACAACTGGCGTGGAATCATGCTCCATCCTGTCCACCCAAAGCAAGCAAAATATTAAGCCGCATCATCCTGGAGAGGCTAATGGATGCACTCGATTCAGGAAGTACAAATCACGTGCCCATCAAATTGCAACCCTATGCTACGCATCATCATAGAACAGAGTATAGAATGGCAGTCAACTCTCTACCTCTACTTAATCGACTTCGAGAAGGCCTTTGACAGCGTCGACCGACAAGTTATTTGGAAACTGCTTCAATACTACAGAATACCACAAACCTTTATCAATCACATTCAAAAACTATATGAAGATGCCACATGCCAAGTGATTCACAATGCACAGCTCAGCTCAGTGATGCTTCTGAAGTGAAGTGAAGACAGGAGTGAAACAAGGTTGCCACCTACTATCCCCCATGATATTCCTGATTGTGGTCGACTGAACTGGATCATGCAGCAAACAGTGGGGAGCTGTGAGAAGAGGGGGATACGCTAGCTGGACCATGGAAAAGAACCTAGAAGACTTGGATTTCGCCAACAATGACTTGTGTCTGATGTCACACAAACTTGAAGATCTACAGGCGAAAACTAACAAGTTGACAGAGGAGGCAGAGCAGGTCAGCGAAGACGGGACACCATTCAAATGAATATAGAGAAGACAGAGGTGATGAAGATACCGCACCAACAACTCCAACAACAGCAACAAACTCCAATCACCATCAATGGGAGAAACCTAAAGGAAGTAGCCTCCTTCACCTATCCAGGCAATGCAGCACTGTTTCAACTACAGGCGCCACAGGCACAGACGAGGATGTCAAAGTCAGAATCGGAAAAGCAAGACAGACGTTCGTTAGCCTGAAACCAGTGTGGGGATCTTCTGCACTCAGCATGTGGAACAAGGTGCGGATTTTTAACACCAATTTAGTCAAGTCAGTGCTTCTGTGTGATGGTCCAGAGACTTGGCACGTTACGAAAGGGATTTCCAATAAACTACAGACATTCATCAACAACTGCCCACGCTGGCTCGTTACTTAAGCTCAGATGGGCAGAAAGAGTCAGCAACAATGAGCTCTGAGAACGAACCAATCAAGCACCCATCACCCAATAAATATGCAGAACGAAGTGGAGATGGATTGGGCACTCACTGAGAAGGCCAACTGGGGACATCACGCCCCAGGCCAGGCCCTCCAGTGGAACCCAGATGGGAAACGACGAGTTTGGCGTCCGAGGTGAGGGTGACATGGAGGAGATGGTGTGAGGAAGAAATGAGAGCTTGTGGGCTGTCGTGGAGCCAGGTTCAAAAGATTGCAGAGAAGAGAGTGGAATGGGGACGTGCTACTGAAGCCGTATGTTCCACTAGGAACCCAAGGGACAAATAATAATATAATAATGCTGAATAGTTTGTAAATGTAAAGCCTGACGAGAATTTACAGAAAATACGTATTCGCTTCAAACTCTCTCTCTTCTAATTATCACAATCCGAATATTTAAATTATTCATATCTCCCACTTTTAACGACCATGTCTCATAGGCGTATTACAGGAGAACGAACTTCATCACAGTATACTAGCCTTCTAATAAGTAGTCGGACATCCCGCCAACCAGCACCAGAGATGAAGCAAGTTGACAAATGCTATCTATGTCCAAGCTGACATTTAGTCAGCATCTAGACAGTTCAGAATGATGCAACTGTCCAATTAAGTGAAGTGGTCAACGCATCCCACCACATCACTCCCTATCATTAGACTAAGGATAGTTACAGACCGGTCCTGAAGCATCATCTTACGTTTGACAAGTGCAAAACCCACGCCAAACATACTCAGATTAGAGCTCAACACATTCACAAGACCCTGCATCTTGTCACTATATCCAACTAGCAGGACAATATCGTCTGCATACTCAAAGTCAACCATATGACCTTCAGGGAGTAGATCAGTCATTGTGAGGTCAGAGGTAGCTAAGGTCATGTCCATCACTATACATATAAAGAAGTTAAACAGGAACGGTAATAGTCGGCATCTCTATCGGACACCACTAGTGCTCATCAGTTCTGATGGCAACCCTCCATAAGCCCATACACAGCCACGTGAGTTTGAATGGAAACTCTGATTGGAGCCTCACGCTTGATCCGTACTTCCTTCACAGTCAGACACCCCCCAAACACCTCAGTCGACAGAGTCAAGTGCCACCGTCAGGTCAAGAAATATGGCGATTGTCGGAGATCATCAAGTATGCCCGTGTTCCATACCCTATCGAAGGGTGAACAGATGATCGATGCACCCTCTTTCAGGTAGGAAAACTACCTGGTTTTCTTTAGCTCCAGTTAGGCATATATTAATTATTAACCCAAGGATCTTGCGCACGATGTTAGTCAGTCTGCTTCACCTATGGTTGAAACAGGAAAACTTTTCTCACTTCTTATAACCTGGGATGATCAGTAAAGTAGAACAGTCTGATGCGACCACCTCTGATTCCCATACACTAAATAGTACACCCATTAATTACTCGATTCATCAATTTCCTACCTCCATCCTTAAAAACGTTTTGGCGGCTAACCATCAGGTTCTGCTGCTTTGCATCGATTCGGGTTTGAAACAGACTTCTTAACTTCCAGGGGAATTGGAGGACTGACATATAAGTCCTATTTAGGTTCAAGCTGTATGCTGGACACCTCAAGCGTTGCTGTGAGCTAGTTGGACTGTACTTCAAAGTGTTCTGCCCAACGTCCTAGCCACCTATCCAGAAAGGTCATCATAGTCCAGTCCCTTTCAGTGACCACTGTACTCCTCGTCTTCTCCTTCTTGTCTGTATCTTCATTAAGCCTAAATAACCACTGGGTATTACACAATCCTTATCCCTTCCCACCTCTTTCACTTTCGCTAACCACCACTTCTCGTGATCATTGTAAAGACTCTTGGTCGATTTCAGTCCAAGTTACTTTCGTTTTTCACTGCAGTCAGAGCCTGCTGGATTGAGTCTTCTCGGACCAATCAGTTCGAATAACGTAGCGAAAATCCATCAGCAGTTGCTTACCTTTGCATGTACATTACCAACTAACTTTATTGTTGTTTCTACAACAGATTGAACGTCATGCCATGCTTTATCAGGATGAGGATTGCTGTCACGTTCAAATAAATGCTAAACTAACTCCTCCCGAAATACTTACGGCACGTTCGCATCTTCCAATTGGGCACGCATATGCTTAACTGACATTTACTTTTTACGACCAGTAAGGTACACACATACATATGGCCGTACTAACGCGTGATCAGAGTCCAGATAGGCACTCCAGAAACGTCAATCCGCCACCCATCCTCTGCAACAACAGCTTATAGCAATGTGATCTATCTGTGTCTAATGCTTGTTTGACGTCGGTGGACTCCATATGAGACAGTGTCTCTTCTTATGCTTGAAGTTACTGCTGGCCAGAAACAAGTGATTTTCAGAATAAAATTGAAACAGACGACCACTGTTCTCGACTCGCTAGTACGGAACTCCGCAGGTATTTCTAAGATGTTTTTTGACTCGCTGAGCTTTCCAGTTTGAGTGTTCAAGTCACCTATTATTATGATTATATCTGAACGCTCTGCTTTCTGTAGCAAAATTGACAGCTTATCATACAACTCATCCTTTGTATCAGCCAGTCGGTGGGCGCGTAGGTAGAGACTACAAATAGATGTCGGGAAGTATCATGACCCTTTTCATTTCTTACAGATCTATTCAGTCGAAAAACACAGACGGCTTTTGACTGGTATCCAGTAAGGAAGTGCGCTTTCTGTTCAGTAACTCAGTGCTACGCCTACAACAACCAATCCACAGAGTAAGTCCTTGAATCTTCGGATACTCTTAAGATGAATTTTGAAGATTTACTGCACTGGTCAGGTGATATCAACTTAATAACTGTATTTGAGTCCTGTCGTGTCTCAGAGACAGCACGCATCCACGGCTGGAAACTTCAGTTCTGTGAGCGATGCTTGCTATCCGATTGGGCATAGAGTTCAGACGTTGAAACCTTCTACATGAAATCGATGGCGTGGACTCCGGAGACTTAGAATGAGGTTTCGATGGCTTGGAGCGTCGGCAATGGTCGCAGAGCGAGAGTTTGAGAAAGTTGTAAGAGGTTTAATATTAATATCAGCAGGTGAATGCAGAGGAGATAGAAGTAAGGATGATAGGGTGTTTGGTTGATTGCATACTGCTGGAAGCGTGCAGGTGGTTGACGACTTTCCCGCTGCCCACACTGTGGGCACCGGAAGACCACAGGGCAAGGTATTCTAGTTTGGAGGCTCTTTTATTAACCACCCGTTCCCACCAGGAAGGTGGCGTCAGCATGGTACTGCTTGTCATT